TTCCACCAACCCACAACCTGCAAATGAGAAACCTCATTATGTTACAGCCATAAAACTGACATCAATGGCATAGCGTCACTGAGCATACTCCTTAACAGCTTCAAAACATGGACTCACCTCCCTACTCCTTTCCTAAATCCATAGCATTAATGCACAGATATTTTAGCCTTTTTTAGCACAGCCTCAGAATTATATTTGGCATCCCTATCTGGCACATACAATAACTGCCAGCAACAGGAACCATTTCTGCATTGAGGTCACCGAGTATATCCACTGCTGTAAGAAGTCTGGAGAGCACAGGACACCGCCTGACTCAAAAAGTCCAGGGAAAATAGGAAAAATATAACCCAGAAATTGTCGGAGCTTTCAGCTGCATTTGACATGTAGCGCTCAGATTTCAGCAGAGCTTGCTTGCCCTCTCCTAACCCCTCCTTATCTTCCCCTTCTCCCCGCCACACACACACAGAATCGCTAGAATTGATCCTTCGGTTTAACAAAGGTTGTTCTCCGCAAGGAACAAGACCAAAGCCAAGCATCCCGTCCCATAGGAAAAACTGATATTTGTACCACCGGGGGTGTCAAGGGGAAAGGCAGAAAACGCGAGCATTCCCTGCCCACAGAGGAGCTTCTGTTCCGCGAGCGGTGAAAAACGATGCGGCAGACAAAGAGAAGCGCCGGCTGCTCCCGCTCCGGCAGCGCCGGGCACCGGGCACATTCCGCGCTGGCGGCTCGGGATCGGGCGGGTGATGCTGCCCGGCCCCGGCAGGTGATGTGCCCGGCCCCGGCAGGTGATGCCGCTCGGCCCCGCTGGTGATGCCGCTCAGACCCGGCAGGTGATGTGCCCAGCCCCGGCAGGTGATGCTGCCCAGCCCCGCTGGTGATGCCGTTCGGCCCCGGCAGGTGATGCTGCCCGGCCCCGGCAGGTGATGCTGCCCAGCCCCGGCAGGTGATGTGCTCGGCCCCGGCAGGTGATGTGCCCGGCCCCGGCAGGTGATGCTGCCCGGCCCCGGCAGGTGATGCTGCCCGGCCCCGGCAGGTGATGCCGTTCGGCCCCGCTGGTGATGCTGCTCGGGCACGGAGCCGGATGCTCCGCGGAGCCCGCGGGCAGGGCGGTGACAGCCCGGCGGTGACAGCCCCGCGCTCCGCCCGCGCCCCCCGCCCGCGCTGTTCTTTCCTTACCCTCCTGGGCTCGGGTGCTGGGCAGGACAGCGATGATGACCGCGAGCAGCAGCGCGGCCGCGGCCGGGCCCGTTCCTCCTCTCGGGAGCCGGGGGATTCGCGGGGGCGCTGGGCCGGGCCGTGCCTCGGGCCCCGCGGGGAGCGCCCCGCTCCGCCCGCCCGCCGCCCGCCGCCACATCCCCGCTCGGGGGGCTCGCTCGGCCTCAGCGGGCAGCGCTGCCCATCGCCGGCCGGGCTCCAGAGCGGCGGCTCCGCGGGCGGGMGGCGGCCGAGGGGGCGGAGCGGGGGTCCCGCATGCCGCCCGCGGTTCTGCCCGCGCTCCGCGGGGCCGGGGCTGCTCAGCGGCGATGCGGCTCCTCGGGCTCCACCGCCGAACGGAGCTTCATCCACAAAGGGCTCTCGGCGCCGCTGCTGCCGGCCCCGCTCCCCGCCCTCCGAGCGCGGATAGGCGGGAGCGGGGGCGGCGCTGCCGGGGCCGTGGGGACCCCTCCGCCACCCCCCGAGCTCCGCCGGGGCCGGGGCAGCAGCGGGGAGCGGCAGCGGGGGCGGTGGGTTCGGACCGGACCCCTCCAGCCGTGCCCCACAGCGGCTCTCGGGCACCCGCCACCTCCCGCATTTTTGGGAGCGATCGCGCTAGCTTTGCGTGTAAACGGAGGTTCGCTTTTTAGCCCCCTGGCGAGGCTGAAAGTTCCGCTGTGCTCGCTGCGGGAAGCGGTCATTGATAGCTGTGTCCCGATCTGGAATTCGCCGGGCCGGGACATCTCCAGAGATGTCCCACGTTATCCCAGGCACCAGCCAGCACCTCCCCTTGACACAGCGATGATCAGCGCTGGCGGCGTTCCTGCAAATGCACAAGCGGCTCAGAGAATAAAGGGGTTCGAGGGTGACTAAAGTGGCAGCGGCCCCCCAGGAACCCGCTGTGCCAACACGGGAAGGGCTCCTCCGGTCACCCTGCCCCGCCTGGGACAGGGCTCAGCCCTCCAGGACAAAGGGAAGCTCCCAAAGACAGAGGTTTCTCTCTGGATTGCTTTAAGGGGCACCAACCAGCACATGAAATGTGTTGTGGGAAGCAGAGGGGTGAGCCCAGCAGCTGCCTCAATCTCAGTCACACCCGGTAGTTCATTTASTGTTTTCTCCAAGTCCTTTTTTCAGCAGAAGCAATGTGAATTCTTTGGTATCCCCTCTTCCATGGAGCTACATCGATGAATACTTTTAGCTCCCAGATCATGCCTGTGGGCTACAGGCCATGATGATGGGATGCAAAGGTGGATTTGGGACACCACACTCTCCAGGACACCCCGACCTAATCCTGAAAAGCTGCCAGTAATTCTGCTCTGCTGGAAGTTASGATGCTGAGAAATTCTTCCAAGTCAGGTTTGAGGTTTGCAAGCCTCAGCACGGGCCAGCCACAGCTCGACACCGGTCCCAGAGCTGTGACAACCCACAATTACACATTTGTGTGACTGGCTCCCAGTGTCACCAACACTATTATCTTGTCCCGTTTTTGACGTTTTACTTTTCCCCCACCCAAATCACTAATCCGTTCCGTGCAAAATTAGCTYCCCCTTGATGACTCCAAGCGATTATCCAGAGCAAAGATGGCAGTTTATGATTATTKTAGTGAAATGGAGCTTGCTCATCACTCTACTTAATCCAGGACCAGCGTTTAGTGCAGGGCCCTCTGCTGGCACCATCAGGGAGCCCTGAACAAATCCCATTTCATCAGTTTAATGTTTTTCTAGGTTTTGTCATAACTCGGCTTTGTAATAGAGCCATCAATAAGCTAATTTTGACAGCACTTTTTCCTCAATAGAGCTCTTAAGCGTTATAGTTTTCTCTTAGTTTGCCATTACAAAGTGCGTTTGTGTATGTATTACATATAAAATGCAASTAAGATTGTTATTTCAAAGGATTTTAAAAAYGTGTATTTTCCAGAGTGATGASWGGATCTTTTACAGCCAGTGAAAAATCACTGGGATTTTACCAAGCAACTGTAGCTAGCTACTTCCTAAACTTAACTTTACTAATCCTGTTTGGTTTGGGGTTTTTCCAGATCCAAAACCGCTTTGATCCCTCTTCGCAAGAGAACAGTTGGGATTTTTCATTTTGGTGAACGTCTCACTCCCCAGATACAGCCATAGRATGGAGTCCAGGCTGGAACAGGGTAAAGCAGGGAGAGCTCCTAACCTGCTATTTGAGGGGCTAGGAGAAGAATCCATTGCAATGTGTATTTCAGCCTCTCAGCAGAAACCTTATCATTCTAGCAAAGAATACTCAGTGCTCTTCCTCAGGACAAGGGCAGGTAGAATTATCTGAATCAGCTCAGAGCACATACCCATCCCTCCCRAGAGAGAAATGCAACTTCCTTCCTACAGGTGAAAGGCAGGAAGACATAATTAACATTAATCACCATCAAACCTTACCCATGGCCTAATGAGCCTTCCTGCACAGCAAGACATCACAGCAGTCATTTCACAGTGTGGGAAGAGGCAGGAGGGGTACAGTTTTCCTCTGGTGTTCCCAGAGCTCTGCACTGCACAGACACCTCCTCCTGAACATCATGGGCCCACAGGGGAGTTACAGCTCTGGGAGTGGGGAGCAGCACTTTCAGAAACTCCCAAAACCTTGACTGATGCTGCACTGGTCCATCAAGACTGCTCCTCTGCTGCCTTCCAGAGACTGGGAGCTAATTCATTGAGAAAACCCAGCACCAGCCTGAATCCATTTGTCCTGCTACAGATCTGAGCTGTGTGACAGCCCCATTGACTCTGGAAGCTTTTCCTTGAATCAATCTGCAGTACAAATCTGTCCTTTGCATTTGGTGATGGGGAAATACCCAATTTTAAACCATCCTAAAGGCAGTTAAGAGGAAGATGATCTACTCGTAATTGCCTGTCCTAGTCCACTCCTTCCACAGGACAGTTGGACATCATTATTAACAGAAAACAAGAAAAGAAAGGATTTCACAGGCAGAGTATTCCCTTTGAAAGGCTCAGGCTGACTTTCCTTGTTTGTTACACGTGTCCAGAAGTGAGAGAGTAAAATACACCAGTCTGCCATGGGAAAATGGATAGATACCAACATGCATTTAAAAGGCTAATTGTGAAGAAGGGAAAAGCAGCAGCTTTCAAAGCAACAGGTGTCTGTAGAACTTGGACAGATGTGTTTACACATCACCTGAGGGACAGAGCTGCAGGAAAAGCTTTGCAGACACAGTGACCAACASGCACTGAAGAGTGAGTGCCGGGACAGATCCTTATATTTAAAACATTAAAGCTTTCTTTCAATTCTGAAATACTTTTGTATCAAAAACCATACTGYGCTGTCATTTCAGCCTTTTCCATTTCATTTCTGAAACCATCCTCCCCCACAATCACCCTTYGACACAGCTCCCAAACCACCAGGCTCCAGCAAGCACTGCACCCCATGGCAGAGTGAGCACATTKGGCTGAAAACAGCAATTTTGTCCCAATTGTGCCTTCCATGGACATTCCAGGTGGCCATCTGTGGCAGCAGAACACCAGCTTGGCACAAAGCTCAGCACCAGTGAGGTGTCTGCTGGCATCTGGGCCAGATAAACCTTACACTAAGGCTGTGAAAGTGGGACATTCAGAACAAAGTGCCTTCGAGGTGTGGCTACACTAAATYAGCCTCTCAAGATTTGCTGAAGCGAGACCTGAAAGCTAATAAAATTCAAAATTTCAAAAAGCAGCTCAGTCGAATGATTACACCCGAATTTTAGAGCCCTCACAGCAAAATTTCATTATATTCTTTGCCTTCATGTAACACAGCAAAAAAATAAAAACCACCAAAACTCCTCTGCTGCAATATATATTTTAATTCAAAGTGAATCTTGACAGTAATACACCATAAATTCTTATTTTGACACTCACCAAAATAGTCACCTGGAAAACCCGCTTTTTGTGACAAAGTACAGAAGGCTTGGTCACATTTAAATCACTGAGAACTAGAAAGAAATACTATCGCAAACTGTAAGAGACATTACATCCATAAAAAATTTTCCCAGTCCTCAATATTGTAATATTGCACAGTGCAATTGCTACATGGCGAACTAGTGTAGCAGAGAAATCCAAAGCAAAAAAAAAAAAAAAAAAATAGCCACAAGTCTACAAATTGTTAAACAGTAACAGTTCAACCTCATTAATCAAGTCTCTATCACTGGGTGTTTCTAGAACAAGTCTTCCTACAGCTTGCAGTGTGATTTAACTTTTACTTAACACAAACCACATTAATTAGCAGTAAAAACAGAAAAAAAATTTAAAAATTAAAACAAAAAGAGTTAATACAGTAGCATATTTGACCAATAAAACACCCTGAAGTTAAAAACCGAACACAAGAAATTCATATAAAACCTTGCAAATTAAAGTAAAATGCAGATATGCAATTCCAAAGTCATGCAGTGTTTTATTTAAAAAAGGCATTAAACCGGTATCATGTAAAAATGCTTCTTAAAGGATGACTTTTTTCACAGAAAAGGCCCTCACCCTGAAAGCTTTTTTTTTTTTTCTGCAAATGGGCCCCAGACACTTGCAGGGACAAGAGTCCATTCTCTCAGAGCATATTGCAGGGGATGAAGGGGGAAAGTCACCTGGTACATTGAATTTAAGCTGTGGCAGGATCCCAAATATTTCATTCTTTGAAATGCAGACATTTCTAAGGTTACAATACATAGAAAGAGCAGCAGATCTAATTTGGGGCACATTTACAGCAATTTTTTCCTGCAGAGGACAGGATACTGTGGTGATTATAGAGAACCGTGTCAATTGAACAAGCACGTGAGCTCCAAACCTTAAGCACAGTAAAAAGAAAAGTACAGAAAATACATCAGACCCATGATGATCCCCGTGACCCCAGGAAAAAAAAAATTTAAAAAAACTGCAGTATCTTTTTTGTTTATTTTTTTTTTGTTACCGTGATACAAAATTGATGTGCTCCGTTTGCATTGGTGGCTTTTGGTGTGTCCATTGCCTGCAATGGAGTGAGCACCAAAAAAAAAGGGAAATTTCCCAGCACAAGGGAGTGAACAGAAAACTCTGCTGGACCACACAGCACAAGCTTGAAGAGGTGAGGTGGAATTCCAATTGGACTCCCTATGTGTTGATACAATTTCAAATTCATCAGGATACTCCTAGTTGCTAATGTATACTTTATATACACACACACACACTTGTACAAAATGCATAGAGTTGATCACTAAAAAAAACATTGAAACTTCTGGGAAAAGTTAGGTTTCTTAATTTTCAGTGTGATTAAAAATGTACTGCTGGTATTTTCTTTTTTTTTTTATGATCTAATACTGTTGTATTTTAGTTATTACTTAAAAAATAAATCAAATGTAGGCACATTTATTTCATTCAGACATTCATTAAATAAAACACTGCTTGTGTTAGTGGAGTAAAGAAAAAGATTACCAGTTATTAGCTTATTGACAGAGTTAAACTCAAATGTTTTGCACTCTTATTCCAGTCAACATTGCAAGGATTGTATTCCAGATTTTGTTTTAAAAAAAGTTAAGTCAAGCCTGCAAGATGCAGCTGCTTAAGTGTCTACACAATGCCAATATGAAAACATAAAAAAAAATTAAGTTACATTAATACATCCACTTATATGCAGTGATGAGCTCAAAGTTAATGGAGATAAAATACTGATGCAAATAACACACCCCAAAAAAACATATGCAATCATCTTCCATCATTTACAGTATAGTAGTTACGACACTTCAAACATGAAAACAAAATAAAAATTAAAAAAAAAACAAAACAACCAAACCCAAAACCCAGCTTCTATTTCATGTAATTAGACTTGTACAGAAATTAGAAGGCTAAGAAAGAACTAGTTAATCACCTAATTTCACAGCTATCTGAAGTGGCAATCATTATATAGCAGCTTATCTATGATACATTCAAGATAAATGATACAATTTATTACTTGCCCATAAGCTAAAACACAGCCTCAGCTTAATACCTTCCTTAAATCCCATCTCTACACTACAGTATACTTGAGGTCTATGAAAAAGTAGCTACCTTTTATAGGAAATGGATGATTAAGTCTTTGGTGCTGCAAAAGCAACTTCATTTGAACAAAACAAAATAAACAAAAAAAAAAGAAAATTAAAAAACACACTTCCTAAGGAAAAAAAAACCTGCAAAAAGCATGTTAATTTACGTCCCTGACGGAATGTATTAAATAAGCAAACACCCACAAAAGGCTAAAACAAATACTATCATGTAAAAAGACTAAAATCTCTCCCATGCATAAATGAAAGATTGCACACAAAGAACTCACATCTTTTTCAAGCTTCAATAGTAAATATTCTGCTACTAGTTATTAAATACTGCATGGTTTGCTCAAGCTAAGATGAAACCACATCATGGATCAATGAGCACTTGGCTTCTCCTTTCATTAGCTAGCCAGTCATGCCTACTTCACCTCTAAACATTTTATTATATCCAATTAGACAAACACTTTTAAAATAAACTATTTAGGTTGTATTGCAGTTCCATTTACCAGTATGAAATACTGTCTTGTGTGATACTATTCAATAGCTACTGAATCAACTTTCCTTAAGCWCTACTAAAGTCCTGTCTTGAAGCTAGATCATTCTGGGGGGGAAAAAAAAGACAGCAAAATTCAGCTACAGCAAAACATGCTGCCTTCTCAATAAGGAAAATACACCCAATACTAAAATCATACCACACAAAACCCAAAATGAGCATTACGCTATCAAAAAATCAGCAGATCTGAAGTTTTTTAAGTGCTGCAGTCCTCAACATTTATATATAAGTAATAACATTAACAACCTAAAATATTTAAGGCACTATGTGTGGGAACAGTTTACAATGCAGCTGAGATTATTAGGACAACAACATTTAAGAGCAATGTTTAGGCCTTTCCTTTGCCCATGCAAAAGACACATGCAATGTGAAGAACAACAGCTCAACTTTTAGATAAGTGACTCAACATTTAAAACACCAAGATACGCAATACAAACAAGTTACTTCTACACTGTACTGCTGACACATGTGCATCTGTTGCTCTARTTCTGTACACTGAATGGCTTCCCAAATGTAGACGTGTCTTGCACTAGTTAGAAGGCAATTTTATAAAAAATAGCAGGAGCAAAACCAGATTTCTGCTCCCATAAGTCACCTGTCTAAAGTTACTATATAAGAAGATAACATGACCAAAGACAAGTTATACCAAATGTGCAAAACACATTAAAAGTGAGTTTGTTTTTTTTTAAAGCTCAGAGTTGTTTAAATTGCACCCAAGTCTACATGATTCAAAAAAATAATTTTCCTGTTGTGCCATGGCTAATATTTAATAAATACCATGTTTCTTCTCTAAGCAAACTCCTGTAGCATCGATGCTCCTCAATACACCGTGTGTGAGTTGTCACATGAAGGGGTACTGGCTGAGTTTGGTGGGACTCAGAGGAAATCCCGTGTAAGCAGTGGGCGACGCTGTGATGTACGAGTGGGGTGGAAAAAGGGCTTTGTACTGAGTCTGATGGATGGTGGGGGAAGGCAGCAGGCGGGGGTTGATGCCAACAGGAACTTGGTGCACTATTCCAGCGGGGTGGCTCAGGCTGTAGGTGGGGTGCTGTAGCAAAGCTCTGGAGGCGCAGGGCGATGCCAGCAGGTGGGTGCTGAGCGGGGCCGGTGATGGGTACGGGAGGATGGGGGGCTGTACCCCCAGCTGGGAGCTCCCCGAGAGGTGAGCGGGCACCGAGCCGTGGTTTGGGCTCCCCTGGGGCAGAGAGAAAGCGTGGCTGGCCACCGTGGCTGGGATGAAAGCCTGCTGCCTCCGCGGAGCAAAGTTCCCGTTCCACTCCGAGCTGAAGTGCTGCATCTGCGGGCACAGAAATAGGTGGGGCTTAGCTAAGCCGAGCATAGAGAGAGGGGGAAAAATGGAGTAATGTGCTAAAACTAGTCAACTTAAAATCAGGAGGGATATAGAGACGGAATAATTGAATGCTTCAACGGAACGAAAAAAAATGTATTAGCTATTTAGGGAGCAGCGCAGACAGGAAATCTGACAATAAGAGATGGAAAACAGAACACAAGTTATTTTCAATGCTATTGCAAATTAAAAAAAAAAGGATAAAATGCCATGCTGGGCTGTTTTAACAGAAATACCATGTATCACATGAGCAAGGTGCTTATTCCACTCAGCACTGGCTTGGCATCAATTGGAAGTGCTGCATTCAGTTTGGGCACCATAATGAGGCACAAAGAGGACAAATAGGAGAGAAATTTTAGAGGAGAGCAGAAAAAATAATAAACGGATTGAAAATATCTGAGATACTAGGCAAACAGAAGTCTAGGGCTATGATCACAGGAAGATGTGGCAATCATTAACAGTTACAAAGAGAAAAGACTAAAAATCAATTACTCCCATTAAATGATGCAGACTTCAAACTACRCAGAGCATCTACCAAAGAAGGAAGGATCAGCATAAATTTTTGTAATGAAAATAACATTCTACACTTTCTGCCAAGAGGCTGAGGAGCTGCAGACAKTGAAGAGATTAAAAATTAATACCATGCTGATCATATTAAGGTTTGCTTAGAATTAATTAAACCAATCCTCTTGCATAATCACGSAGAAGGGGAGACTGTGTCACCCACCCAAATGTTTCTTTCTATCTAAACTATTCAAGTCATTATTGCTAAATCCTCTTATCAACATACAGCATGCTTTCATTTAGTATTTAACTTACAATATTCACAGTTTCTCTGCAAGATTTACACAAACAGGTACTGCTCTCACATTAATGCACCTCCAGCTATCTAACCAAAAGCTCAATGCAGCTACAGCTCAAAGTTAATTAATTAAAATGGGCTTAAGCTTGATGTCATGTGTCAACTTCAGTTCTCAGTCACAGCAGACACACTGTGTTGTTGGGCAATGATAAAAGTAACTTTTAAATTAGTTTTGGGTATCTTCTAACACTGGATGGAATTACAATCACAGCCCCATCTGCCCTCAAGCATCACTACCAGGCAGCAAAGGTAAGAAACAGYTGGGTTTGCTAAACTCTGTCTCATCTCTGGATACTCAAACTAAAAGCATTTTCATGCACACTACTGACAGAAAAACACTGAGATACAGCTGCAGGTTTTAACTGCACACTATGAGTATTTTAGCATTTGGATGTAGGAAAAATAAATGCTAACATATTTTTCCTTTTGTCTCATGCTTTGATTTTGTGTAAGCATTAATAATTTTGCCAGTGTAGCTTTTCTATTATGTTCTAAAATAAAGTCAGCTGTTTTAAGAAAATRACCCAAAATRAAAGATACTTATAACTTGCCCAGAAGTTGAAATCCATTTTTCAAAATCAGAACACTTTTTTAATCAAGCTGCTGAAAACCTGCAGCTGCCACTGACAGCAAGTGAAACTGTGAGCATTCAGTTTGGAACTSAACTTCTCCAGCTCAGATGTAAGTGCACATACCTGACTGAAGTTTCCATGTTGCAGATGGAATGCTGATGTCACTTTTTGCTGACGGTTTCCTACAACAGAAGATTGGTTTATTCTTCCCAGGACAGACCGACCCTTTTTCAGTGGCTGGCATGTAGCATCTTCCAAGACAGAAATAAACAATATTATGCTTTTGTTGTCACTATTGTCTTCTTAGTTAGAAGTTAGCAAAACTTATTCAAGGTTCTTAGCAAAAGTTAGACAAGGTTTCATTTGTTTAACATGCAGGGAGAAATAATAATGCAATACACTAATTAAAAAAAACCCTAGCACTGTTCAGAAGTGGTCACTACAGATTAGCAATGTAGGAGTAGGTCATAATGTTCATATATATAAATATTGAATGAATTTATTTAATAAATACTGAAACTTCATTTCTACTGGCATAGATGGAACAAAACAGCTGGACTACCTCACCTGTATTCACCATCTGCTCCTCAAGATGTAACCTGTTTTCAAGTCTCATGGGTGGTACCACTACTGTGCAAACAGTTGATTTGGTTTCAGGGTTAACTGAGGCTCTGGCTTCCTTATTTTTATTGTTATTGTCTACAAAGCCATTTTCCACAAAGGGGCTGTCRTGTCCTGAGGAGTCTGAGCTTGGGGAACCATCCACTGTATCACACCCACTTTCCTGCTCATCATCTGACATACTGTCAAAAAAAAAAAAGGCTTGCAATGAAACAAAGATTTTCTCATGACAGAAGTACATTTTCTCAAATTAACATAATAATGGAAGTGAAATTACTCAAAGGTGGATAAAAACAATACATTGTAATTATATAAGCACATATATTCAAACTCATCCTGCCAATAAATTGCAAAGTTTAGAACATGTAAAACTGCCTGTACATAGTTGGAGTTCTACTTCCTTGTCAATACATGCTGTAATAGAATCTTTATTTATTTTAATCAAACTATTTTCATTAGGATACTAATCACAATTCATTTGACACAATGAAAATTATGAAGGCTCAAGCTGGACATGAGGCAGGGTAGACAAAAACACTTAAAAGCTGTTCATATGGACAGTGYTCACTTCAGTGAGGCTCACTTTTGGTAGAAGAAAAAAGGTATCGAAGTCATTAAAGATTACAAGATATGCAGAGGCAAAACCAGAGGCTGCAAAAATTCAAAAATATGTGGTAACTAAATCTGTCACATCCTACTTYGGCTTATTTAATTTTGCAATTCTAGAAGATTTTCATTCTAAAGGAAGTTGCACACAACACGTTTCTATTTGCTGTGTAAACACCACTCATTCAGTATTCTGAAAGCTTCCAGTGTGGCAAGACAGATCTGTTAGGAAGGATAACAGAGCAGTCTATGCTGTGCAAATGAGGGCCAGCAAATTAATTTTTTAATAGCTYATTTACCCTCACCAGCTGGCAACGTAACAAAACCTGTGCATTTTTTAGTATAAACGGAGTCTGCTGTATATYAGGATGTTTCTTTTTACTGAAAGGRGTTTTTACCTGTTGGATCTCTTGCAGGGAGAGGGACTGGAGTGCTCTGAGGAGCTGGTGCTGAGTGTGCTGTCAGGGCTGCTCAGGGAGCACACACGYTCCATGTTCAGGGTGTTCTGGCATGCTTCACACTCCAGGCTCCCTTTACACCTGCACACAAAAACACAGAATTAAAAAAAAGTCCAATATCAGAAAAGACCCCTTACACGTAAATTAATATTCAATTCCTCGCTTCTTTTACATCCAAAACAGATTTTAAACCTTTTCAGGGTCCTTTTAAACAAGCATTTCTTGAAASCTTTAACAAAGCTTAGATTTAAAACACAAGCTCCTCCAGTTCTGAATCATTACAAGAAAGGATGAAGTCAAGCAAACATTAAATTTTTAAGCCTTKCATGCTTCTGTGATGGCTCAGTAAAAGAAAATTCCACTGGGGGACCATACCCAGCATCTGCTTTTACACCCAAAGGTTCACCTTTCCACACTGTCACACAAGTAATTTCTACCCAAAATACACAAGTATTTTCTACCCATAGGTATGTAACAGTGTCAGTGGATGCTACTGCTAGAATGGTAACATTGAGCATACATAGCAAGATTGACCTTCAACAAATAAATATTTGAGATTGATCTTCAACAAATAAATTATTACGAGAAAAACCTCAAAGTACTGTGGTTCTGGAAAGGTGCAACATGGATTGATGAGGCAGACTTTTAATAGTGCTGWTCCCTTTCAAATAATAGAGTGCTACAGAGTTAAGAGTTCTACAGAATTAACTTCCCCCTGAAATTTGATTAGAAGTTCWTGGTTTGTCCTTTTTTAAYTMAGCTTCTTTAGCTGCAATAGCYGTGCTAGGACAGCTGTATCTTGATGCCTTCGGAATTTTCATTTCTGTATTTTCATGTGTCTGTATTCTTGTACTTCTCTAGTACAGCACTAAAAACTCCCATTCTCTCATCTTTAGACAAAACAATTCCTCTCTGAGCTGAATCCAAGGACACCTCAGAGCCCCAAAATATGGAAACAACAGCGAGTTGGGGGTGGGTGACATCATCACCTGTAAAGATCATTGGAGAATTAACACCCAATTTGTTAATAAGGTGAAGATCTCAGTGTCCATTTTTGGGTGCAGCCTCARGAGGAGGCTTTGTCTGCCCTRATGTACCAATAGGCCTGTTAGGCCTGGATTAAAGTTGTGTATTCTCATTCTCTTAAMTTTGTCTGGSCTCTCTTTCAGATCAGCCTGATTGATAAGGCATCATCTAAGTAAAAATGAAAAAAATAAAATCAAGGCAGCTTCTCACTCCCTCAGCGAGTGCGTGGGCGCCGCGTGGTCCTCATCGGTGTCACTGCTGATGGTGATGACACTGAGGGCAGGGCTGGGGGAGCCCAGGAACAGCTCCTGGCGTGGGGAATTGGGGACAGAGGGGACAGGGGCCAGCCTGAGCGACGCCTGACAACAGCCACGCTCCAGCCCTTCCGAGGTCACATTGTCCTGSGCTTCTATACAGCTGATTCTCTTGACAGCCTTCAGGTTGAGGATCTTTGGAGAGACRAAGGCTGAATTTTGGATGTTGGTGTTTTGTAAGATGTTGCTCCTGTGGAGGAAACACATCGTTTGGTGTATGGTGAATATCTGCCAAGAGAGCTGGAAACTGGACTGTTTTCAATAAAACCAAAGTTTTGTTGAAACCACCAACTTAAYCACCAACTTTCCAAAGAAAAACACACAACACAGGCAGAAATACTTGGCATGGAGGGCTTTAGACATTAACAAGAAAAATACAAAGTATGTAATATCTAAGACAACGACACTGAATACAGTATACTGAAAATTCCACTTTCTTATAAAGGCAAAAAGAAATTTAAATCCCTTTTGGGTGAAAACCAAGCAAACAAAATCCAGCCAGACTTCCTGCAAAGATTCTCCTTTAATACAAAAGCTGGTAGCCTCCAGATGAACTCCTTGCTTAATATAGGACTGCTGACACTGCCCCCCATAACCCATGCTTTCCCCTTTTATGGAGCACCCCACCCTTTGCCAGTACTTTCCATGGCAGTGGGACATATTTTCTTCAGCAAGCAGCTGAAGTATTTTTAGCTACCAGTGAAAAACAACTGCAAGGCACACTGCAACCCTGTTATACAGTCTCTCTTCATTTTGAGTTGTCTAAACCTGATATTCCTAAGTTTACGTGATATATCTCATTAGGACTACTTCAGTATATTCTTAAACCCTCCCAAAGCCTGTAAAACAACCTTCCATCATGATAGGCACATACTAATAAAAAAGAATTAAAATGTCTTAGTATTGCAAGTATTTTTCCATCTACTCTGCTACCAAAATAACATTGAAAACTTAAGGCAGAAAGGACATATTTTCCCAAAAGACTAAGAGCAATTGTGTCCAACAAAGATGCAGGTTATTCCCCTGAGAACAGCAATGGCAGGTACTGTCAYTGAATGTTAGAAATTATCTACTGACCTGTTGTGGCACAGTTTGTTCCTCTTGGTAGCTGCAGGCTGAGGCCAGAGCACGTGTGCAATGCCCACACTGATGGGCTGAGGGGCAGACAAGGTTATCTGGTGTGTSAGAAGAGGCTGTGGTATCACTGGGCTGTAGTGGGTGCCCTGGGTGATCATCTTCCTGTAGGAAAGGGAAGGCAGGGTTATAATGCAGGTGACATTTCCATTGTTAAAGGTGCTGCACAAAAGAGGARCAGGACTCACCCCCAAGCCTCTCCAAGCCTTTGTGGACCAGCCACAGGATCAGAGGGCAGAGAAGTGGCTGGAGCTGCCACTGGTGTGACCTGCTGCCAGGCAGGAACCAGGATCTGCTGTGTCTGGTTGGACCACGTCTGTTGGGAACACACAAGAATTCATGACACCAGCAATTCCAATTTATTCCATTTCCTCTATCACACTCAGCAACTGCAACACAGCTCTACATTTAAAACCTTTACTAASTAAATAAATAAGTAACTAAATACTTGTGCTTTCAAGTAAGCCAACCTGAGAAAGGATTCCTGCTCGAATCTGTAGTGGCTGAATTGCATGGGCTTGGGTCACCAGTGGAACTGCATTGTCCACCCTCAGGGAGAAACTGGTGGGTTTGCTGTGGTTTGTAGGAATTCCTATCAAGGAAAAAAACATATGCCAAGCATTAGGCAAACAGCAGTCTTGCTGAAAATGCTCTTGTATTTTCTGAGCACACATAAACATAGAGGACAATTTTAAAGCATTTCACAAGTTTTCTGTATGTGTTTATGATCTAATCCCACAATTTAGACTTTCAAGCCAAATTAACACCTAAAAGATTTTTGTAGCATAACTTATCTGCACAAATATTTGAGCAGTAATTTCCAGAAAGAACTGCCAATAGCTACCAGTTGGAAACAGAGTACTAGAAAGAGGAACRACTTTGGCAGAAGTTCTGCAGAGCTAAGCATTTACTCTTTATCACAAATGACATTAAAAGAATTTGAAAGGAAGCAGACAAAAATAAGCAGAACTGAATTTCAAAGCTTCTCAGAACGGACTCCTGCACATCTCATGCTCTGTATTTCCAGCAGACTGAAACCCATTCCTCTCAGCTTTTATAGCTGGCAATGCCACTTGTACAATGCCCCTTTTTGCTACCATCTACCATCCAATCCTATTCCCCCTTCATCAAAATAATGCAAACTATAGCAYTGTTAATATATTAACATAAGACCATGTTACAAAAAAGATGCATCTCCTGCCCTGTTAAAGATTTCACTATTGCCAACTAACACACGTATAGCAATGCTGCAATGTTTACTAATAACAAGTTTTTACTTAATAATGTCAAACTGTAATGRAAGAGGAATTTTTCTGAACAGTCAYTGCAACAGAAYATCAATGCAAGAAGMAAATACTGGTTAGGAAAAGATCCCTGATCTCATTTTGTAACTGCACTTCATGCCTTGTGCTTTAGCCAAAGATTTAGCAATGGGTGTTGTGCTCACAGTTAACTACTAAAGAATTACTACACTAAAGTTTAGAAGTGTTTTGGCTGAGGGTTTTTTTTTAATCTTTATCAGTACAGGATGAAAGAACACGTTCATCTGATGTAATTCTCTCATGCCATAACACAATACTAAGTTATAACCACACACTTCAAAGCTTTCCATTTTGAAATGCAGCTGACTGATTTTTTTTTCCCCACAGCCATCTAGAAGAGCAACATCTTAGCTCTGACAGAAGCAGAGAGTTTTAGCACTTCAGATATTGCACAGAGCAGCCAAGCTGGGAAACTTTGAAGCACTGCCAGATACCATTAATATCCCTTTTTCATCTGTGCCAGCAACTCGTCACCTATGTGATGAAAACAATATACACCCTTCATTTCAGCTGTAGCAGAATTTAAATTTGGAAAGTTATCATCATATTAAGAATACAGTATACAGATCACAGATAAAGTGTCTGCCTGCACTGTTTCCTTTTCTACAAATCACTTTATTCATCTGGGAATAATGAAAGCAATAGGGTTTTTTAATTATGGAGTATGTCACTGTGTAAAGGATGTATACAATAATCAAGCTAAGTGAATAAGCAAACAATACAAACTACCTTCCTATTTCCATAAATGATTGTTACTRTGATAAGACCCTAATATTCCCTTCATCTTTCCTGTTTCCTCTAAAATTTCATTTCAGAACACCCTCCTTTCTTGCTTCACCTTCCACACTTCGTTCCTCTATTTTATCCAAGATTTAAATTTATATGTGTATGTGTGATATATAAAGATAGCTCTGGATTGCTTAAATCATTTTCTGCAGATGCTGATTTGCTGTTTCTCTCAGAAAGGTGCTATGTATCTGCCTCTGACTCACACACCAATTTGTTTTAATGACATAATTAAGTTGTTTTAAATATAAACCTCAAGTGGATATAATGGAAAACTCAAATATTGCTAACTGCCAGGCAGCAGCACTCATCTTTTAGGAACTGTGACAATTACAGATAAATATACCTTGAATAGCTGGAGGACATATAATCAATGCTTGCTGGAAAACATCACTGCAACCAAACTGAGCAGTTCCTGCCTGCAGTGGTATCCCTTGGTGCAAAACTGAGTGGGCAGATGCTGTCAATGCCTATGGGAACAGATTCAGCACAGGTAATGTTATTATAACTGTGAATTTACATCTCTCCCACACTTGTCCCATCACTTTATACAGTAACAACTTACAAAAATTAATATTTCAAATCCATTTCACAGGAAGCCATTATCTTTTACCACTGGAGGGCACCAGAATACAGCACTGGCAATCCCAGCTTGTAACTTAATTTGAAAATTATTTAAGAAAACATTAGGAAATAATGAGAGTCAAAGACAGAAGATTTTGCTGCTTAACAGATGTAATTTTTTCAATCATTAAATTAATTAGAAAAAAATGCATTAACTGAATTTGCAGTTTAAAAAAAACCCAACAAAACAGAACCAAAAAAACCATAAATCATTGGTTTTACCTGACTTCTTACTGGACCAATTTTGGTGAAGTTTGCAGTCAGGTTGGCAGCACTGCCTGAGGCAACTGATCTCATCAGTGATGTTTTATTGCGATTGCTTAAGTCATACAGGTTTGATCTGCATTTGCAAATATCCATGATATGAAAGCAGGACTTCACTCTATCAAAAACAGAAARTAAGTTGCTTTAATCACCATTTCATGTTGTTAAATGTAAAACACAATTCCCCAAAATAAGGGTAAAAAAAATGAGTTCAAAGCCCACATTTCCCAGTTTCACAGAATGGGATAAACAGGTGGAAAAACAGAAACACTGCTGTTACTATGGCCACGTCGAKTCTTCTATAATGCATATTTTTAATTAAAGAAAAATACTGCTATTTCCTTCTTCTTCCATCTAACACCATTTTCTAACAGCTGTGTACAAACAGAAAGGATTAGAAACTAAATGGATGGAAAGCTTGCTGTTTTAGTGGAACCCTTGCACTTCAGGAAATCCACAGTGGAATACACAGCTCCAGAACTGCGAGAAAACTTTCAATTTATTCCACATTAATCACTACATGAAAGGAAATATCAATTTATTCCACATTAATCACTACATGAAAGGAAGTATCCAAAATGTTAACCTCAAAAAGAGGTGCCCACCCTAGCCCTCAATGACTGATAGGAACTGGGGTTCCCCATACATCCAAAAATCAARCCCAAGTTTCTGCAGTGCTGGAATTTTAACAATCATGCATAAAAATAACTTAGAAATCTATTGCTCTGTTACTTTCAGAGAAAAACAGTTATTCAACCAGTTTCCTTGACCCACTAGATGTATCTAATACTTGAAAGAATTCTCTAAGACACAGCAAAAAATGCTGAAAGATTTTTTTTCTCTGTGATAGCAGAAGAAACAACACCATCATACAAATGAATTGCAACAACAGAGCTTTTTATGTTACWTACTGGTTGCTATGAGGAAAATCGAGGAGGTGCTTCATGGTAACAAAAGAATGGTTCAGGGTCTCAGCTGGAGTGATTCTTAAATCAGCATCGATAAGCAACATTTTCTTCAACAGACTGACAAATTCCCTCCTATCTGCCTTCTCTGCCAAAAGGTCACTTCCTTCCAAATCCATCACCATGTTCACCTGGCATTGAATAAAACAGTCAGATAGAAGATATAMATGTTAGTTTAACTCTTTCTGGTATTGCTTTCTGCTATAAACTACTAATATTCAGCATTTTATCACATGGAGTATGATGAATTTGTCTCATCTCAAAACAGTTGGCCTGGAATTAGTGACTTTTTTCAGGCACACACACACTCCAGTTAAAAACTGCTGAAGGCTTTATTCCCGTCTGAGACTTGGAATTTAAGTAAGATTTGGAATAAGGATCTTTATATGGTCTAATACAAACTACAGAGTTAATCTTCAAAAATTAAAAAATTCAAACATGTATTAATGCCAACCTTGCAACAAGATTTGATTACTTTTTTCAGGATATGAAAGCCAACAAAAAAGGTCTTTTCTCATTGACTAGAAGGGTATAAAGCTGAAGAAAAGTGAGGAAACAGTTACGTTTTTTTAAAAAATTAGAAACTATACTGAGAATAACATTGTCAAGATAACAGAATTATACTGGGAATCACACAGCTAACAGAGCAGGTTCCATATGCATTCTATGTTTATTCTTTGCCACAGTGGCAAATAAAGCAGAAGAGAAAATAAACATTTTACATAAAATTAAGGAATCCCCCATCACAAGGAGAAGTACCACTATTTAACACAAGCAATGGAAAAGGAAGATCTTTTTCAAAAGCTTGAAGGGCTGATGCAGTGATCATTTTCTTCAGAGCAGCAGAGAAGAATGAATATGACTGAGATATAATAAACAATATCCTAAAAGGCATTTCCTTCAAAACCAGTAAAACATTTTTAAATCACCATTCATTCCCACACATTCATTTTGCAATGGAAGGAGATTTTAATACTCACATGCACTATATCATCCAAACTGTTGAAAATATACTTTCTGGCCTCTTTAGACTTCATACCTGTTTCTGCCTCGTGTTCTTCCAATGTCTCAAGAAAGAAAAGGAAAGCTGAGTTTAGAATCTGKCAGTAAAGGTCACTTATAACTACAAAGTAACTTTATGTATTTATTGACCTAAAAACCACTATGGTTTTTTCCCAAATAATTAGTATTTCAGTGGTATATTTGTATGCTGGTTTGCTGGCTTTGTTCATTCTCTAAATCAAAAGAGAAAAGCTACCATATTTTACCTCTGACAAATCACAGTACTGGATTATAACAGATAATTTGTGAATCATGCAGGAAGTGCTGAAAGCCAAGCAAAGAGCTGTTTAATGAAACTCCCTCATGGGCTCATATTTTTTATATATCACAGCTTTGCATTATTATATTTTTCCAATTTTCTCAAACTCAGACTTTAAACCCCAAAGAGCAGCAACATCATATCACTGTAAAAGAAATAAACCAAAAACCAGGCAGTGTCCACTTGTTTTCTCTTATTTTTATACTTTTACTCCTCCACATACACAACAGCTGGGGTAAATATTTTAAATATTTAAGTATGAAACAGAGAGAATTAATTATTTTTGAGCTGGTATAGTCTTTTGTTACAATTTTTCTCCTTCCAAACGACAATAGGCTGGTGATGCAAGAGGTAAGGTGGGACTTCAGGCAAAAAAATCTGTAACACACAGATTACAGAAAAATTTCTAAAATTCAATTTGACTAAAACTGCAAGTAATGACCAATGGTCCATAACAAAACTCCTAATGAACTTGTGCAAGGTAACAAATTGCTCTTGAAACTGGTGAGGGCTGTTTGCACCAAGAACTGGCTCAGGCTCTCCAGACATGGAAAGCCAGATGCAAAGTGTCACCTGAAGCCCAAATGCTTGAGAAAGCAGAGGATGGGATTAAGCAGGCTGGTGTAATTGGAGAAATCTTACATAACCCCAGCCTGCCRGGGATTTACCAACTTGCCAGGGGGACTTACACAACTTGTGCTGGGTTGTGCTGGGAGCTGGGCAGCTGTTTGGTTCTGCAGAAATCTCGTGGCAACTGGAGCTGCTTCCTGAGCCCTCTGAAAGCTCAGGGAACTTGGCCCACAAAACAATATAATTTAAAAAAAAAAAGTAAATTATTCACATAGGAAGCAAAAGCTCTGCCTATGGCCAGAGTGCGATAATGCTGCTCAGAGAGCAGCAAGGTGTGCAGAACATAAAAGCACATCTTGTTTTAACTTTGTCCACACTCCCTGTATTGCAGCTTTCAGCCAACAAAGACTGTTTTAGCAGGAGATCTAAAAGAAATGAGATGTACACAACCATGTTATTTCTCAATCTCGTTTTTCTCCTAGGAACTCCTGATCCTGAAGCCAATTCTGGACAAACTTGGGCCTCAGAGACAAAGCAGTAATCGAGCACGAAAGAAAACAAAACCAAACAAAACAAACCCACTCATTGAGTACCCTCTGGAGATACAAGGCTTAATTTGAATTCCCCACCTGCCACAGCATAGCTTGGCACCTTGGGGAACAGAAAAAATGGAAGGGATACAGAGCAGGAGCTGGTAAAAACCACAGGAGATGCACCAGGGGGATAATTGTAGCAAACCTTGGCCTCTCTGGTTTCTCTGCTCACAAAATAAAATGCTATTTTCTACTACATTCTACTCTTTACCTTTAATCTCCAACTAGAATATGGTGCATCYGTTTCTCTACAGAAAAATCTCGCAGTTTTCGTTCCCATGCTTAACAATTGCTCTCCCGGCAAACCTTGAGTCTGTGAAATGTAACGAATCTGAGGAAAAAAAAACAGAACAGGGTAAATAATTTACCTCTTGTTTTCAAAACCTCGGTTAAAAACTTGTAATTTCATTTAAAAAAATGACAAAATGAACCACGTTCAGAGCATTCCAGTTTGACAATTATATCTTAAATAGGGGAGAAACCTAACACTGAACACTTGGCTCTCTCCATCTCTCAGAGAAAGCCATACATAAACAAACCTCTCCAGTGACCTATATAAGAAAGCTTTTTAGGTTGGGTCAAATCCTAAATGTATTTTTTTAATTCTAAGCAGAAAAATCAGTAGGACTTCTTCCTTCGCTTAAACCACTACTCGATGGTGGTTTGTTTTTTTTTCTTTGCCCGTTCTCATGATGTAACTTGATAAAAATCTTTCCCATTTGCTGTTTCCAGTGTATCAGTCTTTTACAYACCTAACACCTGCATTTCAAGGAAACATTGCATGTGGAGAGGGAGTGGCTGTTCAACTTCTAGGCAGCAAAAGATAGTGTTTTGTCCAAGAAAATCTGCTGCTGAGTGTGATGGGAAGGGACAAGGTTTATGCCTGAAAGAAACTCTGACTGAAATGATCCAAATGTTTTTATTTTAAAAGATGACTTACTAAGCATTTTGCACTACCCTRTCATAGTTGATGATCGATGTATTACCTAGAATAATTAAAGTTTCAAGGCTTCAACAGAAATCTGTTAAAACATGATGTGTTTTAGCTACTGTGCATGCAATGTTAGCTCACTGTACAAGGGGGGAGTTATCCCAGAGGCAGTGTTGCTTTAAAAATTAAAAACCACCTTGGAATTGGACCAATAATTGGCAATAACTGAAAACTAAGCTTGTTGCAGGTTGGATCCCTAAAGACAGRRGGAYTGCTGGGGTGAGCCAGCCCCTGGAAAAGGAGGAGCAGCCAGGGAAGAAGAGAAGAAAGGGGAAAATCATAGAAGAGAGCGGTCAAATACACCAAACTAGAAACTGAGAGATAAGAAAATGAAGTCAGTGAAAGAGAGAGGACCTGAGAGCTAGGAGCAGCTGAGAGGATAAAAACTAATGGGTAGCAGAGAGGACAGGTACATGTGAGGTTTCTKCTGGAAAAATAAGTGACAGACCCAAGAGGGGAGGAACTAAACACAATGCTGCCAACTGTTGGTATTTAATATCCTCCATAACGCCCTACCTAAGGGAACAATGAGAATTCCACTCTGACCAGAAATACTTCTACATCATTTATAACATCCTTAGAAAACAAACYGACTAAAAAAGCAGAGGGGAAAAGACAGTGCATTAATTCAGGAATTGTGCAGTTAAGCACCTGTGCCTGTTTTTAATGAGTATTAAAGCTCAGAAGACAGGGCTATTTTCCACTGAGAAGTACAGCTGTTACTGCTTCTAACCACACATGAATACAAGAACTAAGAGCTCCCTTTCAAGGGCCACTGTTGTACATGAAAAAAACATGAAAATCAGGCAAGTTGTTGGGTGAGTTTAACTGAGGCTTCCAGCAGACTTGAATTATATGCAAGAAGTAAATAAATTTGCCAAATTCTTGGAAATTTTTGAAACAGAATTGTAGATGCTTTCCAAAAAAACTTCACTTTACCCCAAAAAAAGAACAGTGAATTATATATGGGCTGTTAGATGTTTCCTCCTTTATTTTCCATTTTAACAGCARCAAGGTCTTCTAAATGCATCAAAGCATCAACCCATGTTCCACTCACAGCTCATTTTCCACACATGAAACGCTGCATTTTGTGTAAATGAAGGAAACTGAAACACAAAACTTTACCAACATCAACACAAAATTAATATATCCCCTGAAAAAAAAGTCTTAACAAATAATTTTTTAGAAAAGTAGGTCTGATCTGTAAGTGCAGGAAGCCAAAAGCCTACTCCATGAACAGGACTTGAATAACCTAAACAACATTCTGGAGGAACTGCCCCTGAACTCAGTGTTGAATCCAAGATGTAGAACTTAGCAAGAAGCCACTGCTGCTCCTTCTGGGGTTTCCAGAAGTTCAAAATCAAGTGGGAATAGTAAGGATGCTGATTATATTCCTTCCAAACGCCACATTATTTTCTAAGTGTTTAAAACAGAAAACATTCTGCATCTTTCATTAGAACCAACATGGGTTTTATTAAATTTGCTCAGTAATACTGATGGTGTCAGGAGATTAAAACTCCAACAAAGCAAAGGTTGAGCTCCGACAGCTCCAAACTTTACCACTGCATATCTACAGTATTATTGTGACAGTTCATTCTCGTTCCTCATGAAGTACAGGCTCTCAAATCTTTGAGCTTTGTTGGGTTTCCAGAAAGCATCAGAAAGTATTGAGAACACAATTAATCCTGACATCTGAATAGACATTCCAGAGTCCACCCTGTTCATGGCAAATGAAAGAGAGATTATAATGCAATGATGGTAGCTGCAAACTTTGGTTTCCATCAGAAAAAAAGCAGCTTCAATACCAACATCTATTTTGTAAGATGGAGGGAGGAGGACAAATGGACATTTAACTCAAAAAAAAGCAGCACAATATGCAGTCTGGTTCTAAAGAGGATTTATGTTTCTAGAACAATCAATAAGACTAAATTAAAAGCATTGAACAGACTTGAAGAAATGCTACATGATAGGGGATATTATTAGCATTTAAAACTCTGGATGTAATGATCTGAAATTCTTAAGTTGCAGAAAGTGCATATGCTTGTGAAATTTATTCTACTACCTGGTCATATTCCAGTGCTCCTGGGTACAGTGGCCATCCAAGAAACAGCTCTGCAATCACACACCCTAACGACCACATGTCTATGGCTTCACAAAACGGCAATCCCAGTATGATCTCTGGTGCTCTGCAAATTAAACATGGTTACTGAATTTTATTCCTTGGGGAAGAAAGGCAATTCAATAATCCAACATGACAAACAAAAAAAATTCAAAACCAAAAGTTGGGGTTTTTTTAATATACAATTATTTCCATAAAATCATAGCATCAGAAATTGCGTTTTTCTTTATCTAGTTAACCTGTGGTAATATTGTGCAGCTCCAAGATGGTTATTCCTACAAATACTAGTTTGCTAGGAAACAATGCAAAATGTTTTTATGCCTCAAAAATAGAATGTCCCTGATTCAGAACATTTGCCTTTCCTCCAGTAAGTCTCAAATTATTTCTTCCAGTATGTCTCAAATTATTTGTCCACTCAATGTCATTCTATCTATAACCATATTCTAAACACAACAGACTTTTATTTAAAAAAAACCCCCAAACCACAACCAGAAGTTTCATCTGAAAATCCACTTGCACACCCCTCTACTGTACAGTACAGTTAAAGCTATTTAAAATATCAATTTAATTACATAACTGCAAATCCCTTAATGTACTCAAATCAGTTCAATGTAATCAATTTTCAAATCACTTAAATGAAAACACTGTACTTGCTAAACAGAGCAGGTGCTATTTTTCACCTAAAACAAATGTGAATTATTTAACCARCATGGTCTGAATTTATGTCTGCACTCAAGAACCAGAAAAATTGGTATTGACACAGCTGCTAAAGGGGCTTTTAACATTTCTGTTCACGTGGAATCGAATTCAAGTATTTCATAAATATCCATTTTCATTGTATTTGTTCTTTTATCATTCAAGCTATTAACAAAAGAAAAAAGAATTAATTTATATCTGCATTGTAACACAGAAAAATGACTAGAGATGTAAAGTATTACTGAAAGCATCACACTATRAARGGATCTACTTTTAAAGCWGAAAATCTGTTGTTAGCTTAGCACAGAACCGTCGGAATGTGGTTAAACTAAGAGGGAAATTGCCATTGCATCTGAGCAGAACTGGAACATTCAACTGACCAGGAAATAKGTGATTTCTCACCCGTGTAAAAGCTCACAAATCTCATGCTTCAGATTCAATCTTATTGACAYTCCACACACAAAACAGACTCCGATCATAGTAAATATCTATGTATCTCATTCTCTCTGACATTTACCTTTATCAAAATATTCTGGATTGGGAACAAATTCCTATTTCTATGCTACACTGAGTATTTTGCTGCTGTACAGCAGACCAAGAGCTGAAGCCTCTCCATCCCTTTTCACAAGGGGTGATTGGTAGAAACTGTACACAGACACACTCCAAGCTCCAAGAACACATTTTCACCACCATGGAAAAGATCTCAGTGCTCTGCCCCATCTCCAACCAGCAAAGCCATTTGGAAAAATCCAACACTTTCCACGGATAAGAAAATCTACAGGACAAGATATTCTGTTAAATAATTATGTACTTTCCATTCATGCTAGCACTCCAGTTCTCCCCATCCTTGCCACAAACTGTTCTGGATGTGATTATATGAAGGCTAAATCTTGTCATGCGGGCAGTGAAACTGGAGAGGCTCAGTTTTCCACTGCCTCCAAAGATTTGATTACAACAAACTTCTGAGCACCAAACGTATGTATTTTTGTAACTCAGGATCGTGACACTGCAGTAAGTCTTAGCTAGTTTTGTTATCCAAGAAATCAATTCAATATCTCTGGATGCCACAAGAYAAAAATAGCAGCAAGAAACGTCTGCCTTTCCCCGCTGGATGAATGCCAGTCTGCCTATGGTTGTTACAGATCTCTGTTAAAATACACTTCCTTTTGTTGTATTRTGTTACAGCCCTGAATAGTTAATGAATATACACACACAGCCTATGGATATAGGGGCTTTAACAAATGCTCCTGCTAAAATAAGCTCTGTAAAACCTCTTAGGTTTACTCAATGGTTAATATGTGCGCCGTGTAAAAATAGCCGCAGTCCGTCGGTCTGTCGCGCGTCTCTTTGGAGATTGCAAAGAAAAGAAGGAAGAGGGTAGATACAGTGCCAAAAAAAAAAAAAAAAGAGAGAGAGAATGCTTGTCATGCTTCAAAATACAGTAATATGTTAATTTTTCCCAAAGAAAAGCAGTAATAAGTAAGTCTTAAAGGGAGGTATTTCAGGAGAGGCCAAGTGCTTCTCACTCGCCAGCACCAGATCTACAATSCAGAAAGGAAAAGGAAATAAATGTGCTCCTGAGCAGAGTTACCTGTGCCATACTACAATAAAGCAAACAAAAACTATTTTCATGCTAGCTTGAAGTGAGGAAGATGAAGAGCTGCTGCTCTTTCGGGGCCAATGTCTCCTACCATGTTTCTTGTTAGTCCTTTCCTCTCAGCAAACAAARCTGCAGGAGAACTGTAAATGACTCTGATTATGTTTGGTCTTAACCAGCTCAAATTTTTTTTTAAAAGAAAGTTTGTTAATGTCATGCTCAACAGCACCTTATTCTGTTTCTCCTTCTTTTAAACCTCCTGTTAAAATCTGTCTGGAGAGCTGCGGAGAAAAGTGTTAAAGTGGAGACAATCATTCTTCAATTTTTATTTTTAAGAWKRTCTACAGCTCTTTTCTCCTACAAGRTATATTTTTATATGCAACTCAAAAGGAAAGTATTCCCTTTCCTAAGTACAACCATGGACATTAAAGTGGCAGGAATTCCAGATCTCCCAACACTCAAACTACTCATAGAACAGTGTAATTTAGTACTTCTATCTCTCAAAACAGCACCACACACACACACACACACAGAGTCCTGCTTGATTTTTACTGCAGATCACAAGATATTCAGTGCACCAGAGACCACCATGGTCTCCACCTTTGTAAAGCACATTAYCCCATACCAAGACATCAACAAGCAGAACACCAGAATTTTCTAAACTTTTTTAAGGACACCAAATCTTACTCAAATTAAAAGCAAGATTTTAGAGATAAAACATCTATTTCCTTCTTATAAGTGTAAATTAAATAATAATTTAAAACATTACCATGAAACAGTACAGCTTAGACTTAACAATTTGCAATATCTAAAAAGATGAAAGACAAATGAATATTTGCTTTAGCTGTTTGTTTGGGCCACATTTCTATTTATTACCTCTACATACATTACATATACTCTCCTAAAATTTTTTGTAAGCTTCAAAGAACGAAATCACACAATTTGTTCCATTAACTTGCTCAAAGACCAGATCATTTCATAAAATAGTTTAGCTGAAGCATATTAGCCAGCTCGGAATGAAGAAAAAAACTAACAAATTTGAAGAAAAATTAAATAGTTCCTTGATAGAGGATTAAAGAAACCAAAAACAAACCCCAAGCAAAAACTTTAAAAAGAAAATTATCAAAATTGTAGCATAGTAACAGAAAATTGCTTCCATACCCTTACACTGGGGGAAGAAAGAATGAAGAGCAAAAATTGCCCATATTAAAAAAATGCTACTGCCTGCTCCTGAGATAGTGAACATCAGGAATGTTGRTAAACCCTTGCAGAAAATTTCTTTCCTAACTGGCATATGATCCTTACCATGCTATTTCAACTTTGGAATATCAAATCGAGTAAGAACTTTAATAACGGTTCTCCATAAATTTTACGTTCTATATATTCACATAGTTGAAGGTAAATGGAGACAATGCTCTAATCCTCACATAAACCAAACTTYACCACCTCTATTTACCACTGTTTGTGGTGCCAATGCCCAATAATTATCTGCTCTGGATACAGCACAATGTCACCATTATAAAAAATACTAATGCAAGGATGCCATCAAAAGGGTGGGATGTTTAGATATTTTTTTATTAATGACCTGGTAAAAGTCATGGTATGGAGAACTCATGGAAATTAATCCAATTTACAAGAGTTCAAGTCAAACCAGAGAACACCTCCTTCTCCCTGCTACCATCACCAGCATAAGCAAGTTTATACTTTCTCAAAGGAATAAGCAAACATGGGTTGTGGAATAACCAAAGGTTATTCCAAAGGAATATATATTCTCAAAGGAATAACCAAACATGGTTTACACAGAGGAATGTAAACCTTTCTTCAAGATCTGCAAGAACAGGAAAGATTCTTGGCTAGAGGGATCAAAATCAAGGTGGCAATACCCAGAAAAATCTCACAGGCAATAATCTGAAGGATGAAATGGGAAGGAACCATGTAATGACAAAACCTGTGAATGATGAAGGATATTGGGATCAGTTGGCTCTATGGTGGATTCATGATGGTCTACAGAAGGAATTTCAAATATGCAATTAGATCAACACAACAACAGGAAGTAGAGCATAGCAAAAAAATGGTGGAAACCACAGCAAAAATTATTGTACCATATTCATTAATTAATTACCYGTAAGATTTTACGTTATAAATAAACCAACTTTTCAATGAAAAATCCAGACAACTTACAGATTACTGAAGAAAAATATTTTACAATTGGGAGCAAAAATAATCAGGATATCAGTATTTATTTTTAAAGAACAAAGACATATAAAAAAATATTATGCCTTATATAAAACTAGTTTTATTCCCTCACCTTGCATAGTGTGTGTTCACTTTTGAATTCTGTGTTCAGTTTTGGTCACCCCCATCTGAAAAAGGATACATCAAATAGAAAAGACGCAGAAAAGAACAATATAAATTAAAGACTCAAAGAGATTTGGGTACAAGAAGAAACCCTGGTTAGAGCTATAAAGTTTCAGAAAGAATGAATGATCAGCAACATTATTCTACAAGTGATTTCAGCAGACTCTTTTCCAATTATTCACTATCTCTCGTGAACTGAGGAGTTGATTTTATTGAAACCAAAAGATGCTTGTGCTTCTGCCTTTTCACGATTTTGACTTTCCCTGAATAGACTTACTGATTTATTTATATACTTGATATGTTAAGCAGTTTTTGAATTACATGAAAATTAAGCAAAGTAGATACTGATGCAGCAACAGAATGAACMAAATCGTGTCGAGATAAACTCTTCAAATGCTTTGCTGATAAACAGTCTG